GGACTTTGCAGGTATTTACCAGTGTGTAAAACGAACTTACCATGCAAAGTAGATCAAAATCGACCGAAGGGTTACAAAACGGCAGCTGTTTTAGTAATATCGTGTTTTAATGAGAAAACACAAAAAAGAACTCCTTTGCGGCACGGGTAAACGTTGTCTCACCTCAAAACTGTTTAAGGACGTTAAACTTATTAGTTGAAATAAGAATTTGAGCGGTCCCGGTCGATTTTCGAAAAAAGTGGTTTTGGAAACAGGTCTAGCATACGCCCACCTTGACCTCGACCGACCCGGCCCCACTTGTCGAATGACTCGCTGGTTGTCCGTCGGAGCTATACTTCTGTATCTCAAAATTTCGAGATGTGGTAGCTGTCCAGTGGTCGAGCCGCCCGGTGCACGCTAGCATTCGAGAGCGCACCCGCGCCCGGCTCGGCTCGCCCGAGCCGAGAGCAGGAAAGGCTGCATCGGGATGCGCGGGTCGCTGGCGTCGTCGGCGCGCTCGGCGCTACCGTTCGAAAAGAGCGCTCCGCCTCCGCCGCTCGCATCCAGGACCCGGGTAACCCGGGTAGACCCGCAGACCCGGGTACCCGGGTTCCCGGTTCTGCGGTTCCATGTCGGGTACCCGGGTACCCGGGTAATACCCGCGGAACCGGCTCTACCCGCGGACCCGGGTATTCCCCGGGCGGGCGGGTACCCGGGTTACCCGGTTCTTCGGGTAAAAGTGAGAGCCCTATTACTCATAAGAACTAATTTTTCATCAGGTAAAGAACGTTCTCTAAAAACATTTAAAGTCTCTATACTTAAACCAAACACAGTTGATTTTGGGGAGGAACTATAACAAAAGAATTGATAGTCAAAACTCTTGTCTATCTAACAATTTAAGAAGTCGTTGTTAACGTACCTGGCGTCGAGGAACCTCGACCTGAGGATCATGACCGCCTCGCACGTGGACTGCTTGAGCTGCATCTGGATGGAGGAGAACTTCTTGTGGATGATCTGCACCATTCGCTCGATCTCCTTGGGCGTGATGGGCCTCGTCCTGGACTGTTCTCTTAGGAGGTTCATAACGTGGGTGGTGAACTCGCTGCACGCCTGCGGCACACAGATGGAAAAAAAAGACACTCGTCAATACGGCGAAATTAAACAAACAGCAAACACGGATGGATTTACATAATAAAGCCGAGAACTGCAAAGTCTGTGGGACACGATTATCTCAAGTCTGCTACAGTGCCGCGTAAAAAGGCAAACGACAAAACACACGGGCAAAAATGTTGCTGACCGAGCAGATGAACACTAGGAGCAGACGAGATGGATGTAGGGGGAAGCTGACTTGTGCGTACCGGGCCGCGCCGCGCCGCTGTAGTGCGGGGAGACCGACCCAGCCAGCCGCCCCTGGGGATCCATTACGGGGATGGCTCACTCTGCCCCCCCCCCCTCCCTTACCCTCCTTCCCCTCCGGGCGACATCTGGACCAGGGCTATGCAGCGGGCGGCCCGCGGCGGGGCGGGGACCCTCATCCTGCAAATGTAAGCCTCACAGGTGAACTCCATCCCGCTAGTACACTGCCGACAGACTCTGCCCGGCAGATTATGACCGGCAACTCTTCCGCCCGAAGTGAAGCAGCTGCTTTGTACTCATATGGCGACCTGGAACTGCTCCGGTCCTCATCCCACGAGCACAGCTGATGCGAGTACGTCTCAGGTTTGAACTGAGGCCCTCACATCGTTGGACGTCGTCATTAAAATTTGAGATGGTTCATCAAAGATGAATGGAGGGGTGCTCGTATTGTCGGGTTTCACTGGAAAAACCAAAAGTGCGATGTCCTAGCTTTCCAGGGGTGCCCGTTTAAATGGTGCTAAAGTCTACATTTTTATAAATATTTTCTGTATGAGCAAATCAAGCACAGGAGGATTTATATCACATAAGCTATTCCAGATTCCGCGTCAAATGTGATAGCGTTCTGATTAGGGGTCAGCAAATAAAAAGCCAATAAAAGTACAAAAGAAAAGCAATCAGTTTCTGCCATTTTCGAACAGAGCCCTATCACATGTAGGGTAGTTTGACGCGGAATTAGGTGTAGATTACGAAAATATATTGAAAACCTGTAACGCCTTTGGAGCTTTTAGTGCCTTTTAAAGGTGGGATATCACCTTTCTTTTACCAGTGTACGCGTGCATGCAACGTGGGTTAGGGAGAGGAGATACAGAGAGCAGGAGTGAGAGAGCATGAGTGAGAGAGGCGGCGGAGGAGGGAGGGCGAGCACTCATGCCAATGAGGTGACGGCGACACTACGCAGACGATCTCCTCCTGGACTGCGTCTCTCTCTCTCTCTCTCTCTCTCTCTTCTCTCTCTCTCTCTCTCTCTCTCTACACTCTCTCTCTCTCTCTCTCTCTTTACAACACAAACAACAAGCTGAGTGTGTGTCTCTATCAAGTAAACCATTTCTGACAGAGAACGATATTCGGAGTGAATACAATATTATTTCAGTATACGTTATAAGGTCGTCCCGCTACACAGCAACGAAAAATGTACATTAGACCCGTTCTTTGTGCGGCTTTCGAGGGCGAAGGACAGAGAGAGACAGAGAGAGACAGAGAGAGACAGAGAGAAAGACAGAGAGAGAGAGGGGGGGGGGTATAAGGGGTTGCGACCCCTGGAGGCTGCCTGCCGAGGCCCGAGCCGAGGCCCCTGCCCAGCCCAGGGGTCGCCCGCCTCACAGACTCATCCGGGGAACCTGACTTATGAGGACCTTATATACGGCTGGGCGGGGATCGAACGGGGGAAGGGGAGGGATTAAATGGCAGAACAGGGAAGAACTGAGAAAGGGGCGGGAAGACGGTGGGACGGAGAGAGGGAAGGAGGGAGGGAGGGAGAGAGGGAGAAACGGAGAGAGTGAGAGAGGAAACGGCGGAAAAAAGGCGAGCGCTGCTGCCGCTGCTGCCTGCCGGGGGTGAGAGCGGCGAGTGGGGGCAGGGGGAGAGAGAGGGCTGAAAAGGAAATGGGCTAGGAGACGTACGACGGCACCCTGGACACACAGCGCCACCGGAGAAAAGAAATGTATGGGAAATAAAAATAAAAATCGCGGTAACAAAAATAATAAACAACGAAGACGGAGCAGAGGGGAGTGGACAAGTTTCAATAATGATATATCCACAAAATAAAATTCCGCAACATAGAAACGGGGGTAAGAATATAGGGAACCGCGTTCGTCTCGGCTCCTCCGCTGCCACCCCTGGCCGGACCTCACCCAGGAGGACGTCCCCTCCCAGGACACCTATCCCATCTCGCCCCGCCCGCCCCGCCCCTCGTGTGGCGTGGCGCCGGCCTTCCTCGCCCCGCCCGCCACGCTCCGCCACGCCACGCCAGCAGCCGTACCACCGCCAGGAAATTGGAAGCGGCCATTAGGAAATAGCATGTCGCAATCATACGTCCAGGGGCCCTGCGGCCCGGCCGAAGGGCCCTGCAAAGAAAACAAGCAATCCGTCTCACTGGCCATAACAAACAGTGCACACGGCACGGTCAAAAGGAAGAGTGCGGTACGACAACGCACTAGATTGTTTCCAAAACGCGTGCTCCGGTCGCGAGTTGCGATTAGAATTCTTTGAATAATTTAGTAAGTCACAAATTAAAATAATGAATGCTGGGAATACTGGTTGGAGGGGGAGGAGGGGCGGTTGGGGAAAAGAGATCTGGTAGGGGGGGGGGGGGGGAGACGACTTGGACCGGGAGCTGGGCAGGAAATGGGAGGCACCACGCAGGAAGGACTCCAACGTCCAGCTCTGCATTGCCAAGGAGGGAAAGGGGGATAGGAGAGGGAAGGCGAGAGAGAGTGAGAGAGGAAGAAGAAAAGAGGATGGGGAAAAGAAAAGAGGATCCATCAGGTGCAAAAAAAATTGTCACAAAACAAAGTTTATGAACAACTTGTTTGTTTGAGCAAGAGACCATAATGAAATACCAAAGAAATACGTCAGCTTATTTTACAGCAAGTAAATATTTCTTACGTTTCCGCCACGGTTTTGGCTTGCGCTGTACTTTTTTCCCCCCCATACCAGTGTGACGCGGGCCCAGCGCGCTCGCATCCCTCCTCTGCTCCAGCAGCAGAGGGCTTGAGCGTGGCTGCTGGAGGGCTGCAGCCAGGCCCACCGCCACGTCGGGCCTAAAACCAGCAGCCTACAAATCAAACGGTGGAGTGTACGAGCGGAGATCCGATGTGATCCGCATTCGAGAGGGCTGCTGCTGGGTGGGGGG